GAGAATACGTTTTTCAATTAATTTAATTGAAAAACGTATTCTCAGAATACGTTTTTCATGTAAAAAAAAGTGGTGGGCACTGCCCACCGTGGGCAGGTGAGCGGGACTATTTAGTATTAATCTTTCAAATTATATATTTAATAGTGCAATCTAATTCGTTTAGAGATATTAGTTGTGGTTGTTGCGGAGTGTAGCAATGTAACAGATCAGTTTTGTTGTGTAGCCATTAAATAACTCGATTTGTGGAGTCATCCACACTTATTTACCAATAGTATACTGACACGTGTCCTACAATAATTACAATTTGTACAAATGTCAATACATTAAGTGATGGATTATTCCATTAAAATCATTTGATGACTTCATAGAACTTTTATGTAATAGATATCCCTCTTATTTATTATTTAACAGAAAGGGCATTAGTAAAGTGAACATCAAATAATAAATTATTTCTCAATTTCTAACCTTTATATAGTCTATAATAATTCCATGCTTTGGTCTTTTATTACTCGCATGACCAAGAAGAAGTAAATGATGATGCAAACAGTTGAGGCGTGACATTTTTTAGAGCCCACACTAAAAGACTTTTCTATTGTTGACTCCACCAAGTTGTTGTTGGTAATATATATATATATATATATAATTAATTAATTAAATCCAAGTTTTGATTTAATAATAATTACGTAAGTCAATCAGATTAATTATTATCCTATATCAGAAAAAAAAAAAGGGATTTGTAGTTCTTTTTTGTCAGCACGTTTGGCTTCCTCAACACGTTGAAAGCATATTTATTTCCCTCGGACAAAATACACTTCTATCTTTTTTTTTTATATATTTATTAGGGAAATGCTACAGTTTCGTTACGGAACCATTCAGTCGAAATTTGTAACTGTTAAATCATCATATAACCGTCGTGGATAGTTGATCTAACGGTTACAAACTTCGATGGAATAATTCCGTAACGGGATTGCAGGATCTCTCTATTTATTACTACCTCCTTTTTTAAAATAAGTGTCGTTTTGACTTTTTTGATTCATTCATTTTGCTATGTATCCAGATATAAATATGTCTAGATACATATATGTCTAGATACATAGCAAAATAGATGAATCAAAAAAGTCAAAACGACACTTATTTTGAGAAGGAGGGAGTATTATTTATCAATAATACAAGTCATTGACCGACTCCACACTATTGGCTTATATTATGCACAGCTTATAAATCGGGGCCATGTCATACATTTGATTTGACCTATGCACAAAAAAAAAAAATAAATAAATAAATAAAAAAAAAATCATCGTTTTATAATTTAAATAAAAATATATAAGAAATCCTCATGTTCACACGAGAATTTTTGGGGATTTAAATCTAATTTTGCATGATGTTTATAATATCTTCTTGTGGCTAGGCTCGACTCGGTTGGCTTGACAAATAGAGATTTATATGTATTTTTTTAAAATTTTATTATGTATCGGGCTCGTTAAGGCTTGATAAGGAGTCGAGCTTGTTTATCAGCTCATTAATAACAGTTCGACTTAATAATAGATTGAAGGCCAAGCTAGGGTGTCGAATTCAAGCAAGGTTCGACTTGTTTGCAGTTCCAATCACCCGGGTCATGATATGAAATTAATTGACAATATTTTTAAAGGAAAAAAAAAATTGCTTCTAATTAACTACATGTTTCATTAAAATGAAATATGTAGTGGTGGTCTTGGTTTCGAGGATATTCCTTTATTTATTATTGGTTTAGTCTGTTGCACAGTGTGGTTGGGCTAAGCCATGGCTTTATATTGGACCTGACAATCGTGTGGGATGGGCCTGTTTGTGCTGAGGGCCTGAGGTTGCCTTGATTCTTTTGGTTGGGCTTTTGAGGGATGAGGGCCGTGAGGAGGAATGAAGTTGATACGGGTTTTGAATTGGGCACACTATGTTTAAACCCGTAAACCGCAGACATCAAGACAAAAGAAAATGTCCTAGTCCTTGCCATGTTGCTCAAAAAAACATCGATAATGTGTTGGCTCTATTCAAACAAATTTACATGTAATATAAAAATTAAGTTAAAGATAGAAAAAGATAATTAATAATGCAAGTGAAAGTGAATTAGGTCCAACTGATGTTATATTAAGAAAAAAAAAGTTTTATCTACCCATAAATCTATGTTAGACACAAGTGAACATCCGTTCATTTTTGTATTAGAATAGTTTTGACTATGTTATTTATCGACACAAGTAACATCGACACAAGTAAACATCCGGTCTTTTTACATTCAGAAACAAAATTAAACCAAAACCATTGTTAGTGTTCTATGATGCTCGAACTGTAACTGAGTCGAACAAGGTAGATCCTCGACTAAATTATTTGAATCAATGAAATGAAATCTCGACAAACCGCAAACAAGACCTTAAAGACAATAGAAAAGAAACAGAAAAACAACCATCTAGGATTTGTTTGAAACTCGAAGGAATGCTCAATAAACGATTTTGAAAAAACGTGTTTTTTTCCAGGTATGCTCAATAAACAAGCCTAGGCTAGATAGCCAATTTAGATTAACAAGCCTGGATTAGGGCTCTAGCTCTAGCTTTCCAAAACTCGTTAGCTTAAACGAGCCTACAAGCCATATCCGAGTTGTGAAATTATAACAAGCCACTAACTCGGCTAAAGACCGAGCTAGTTAACTTTACATGCGAATCTAGCCTGAATAAACTCAGCTCAAGTGCAGCCCTAAGTTATTAATGTGTCCATAAAAAAAAACACTATATAAAAGCATATGATATGTAACCATTAACAAAACAATTCAACTTCAATTTATAATCCCTCACTTTGTGGAAATTCAGGAATTTTTCCATTTTTCATTGAGCTCATTTTTGTCCCCACTCTTAACTACTCATGACACAGGTACAACAACCTCATCCTATTGCCAATGCCATTCAAACCTTGCAAGAATGCTGCTCTCCCAGTTTTAACAATTGCCAGATTATTCATATATAATAAATATATAAATCTAAGAACCGAAGCAAACCTTTTTTCCGGTGGCAATTTTCACTTTCTTTACCTAGTCCTATGTCATAAAAGACTGAATATTAAACGCGACTATGTTATATATAAATCCTGAGGCTCCAAAAAGATTCACCATTGCATGGATCGGTTCCTTCGCAGACGGGGTGGTTTTCTCTTCTCAACTACAGGAATCACATTCTCCATTATCTGCAAAAACGTAAAAATTCAGTAAACGATATCATTATAACTTCAGAAATGCAGTTTGCGTAACTAGACAATCTTTAACTATATTTCTAGAATAGTACTTTGGGTAGCCAATAAATGAACTATATATATTGTGGGGTATGTTTCAAGAGTACAATAAACATTTTCACCTATCAGCACAACCGAAAGTCAAAAAGAATATTTTTATCTGATTATTACTTTCATTAATTTCCAAAATATGAATATGAGCCACAGCACGGGTAGCCTCATCGCTAAAAAATTAAGGTAAACGAGTGAAAAGACCAACGGTGGCTCTATTAAATTTAGCTCATGATTATGTTAAGTGCAGCCCATTGATTCAAGCAGCACTAGACCGTCCATAAGCATAACAAGCACAATACCATCTTTCAGCTGAAACAATTGAAACAAAAAACAACAGTCTATAAGCCATATCCCAATAAATGGTTCGGCATACTTGAAGAAGAAGAGAGGAAAAAAGGAAAGACACAAACAAAAAAAGGAAGTTCGACATTTACTGACATCTTCTGTCCCGTCAGTTACTGTCTAGCAGTAATAAAATGTGTCCAAGCTTCTAGTTTTGACAGAGGTAGTGGAATCAACTTAAACAAATCGCAGTAAAAATAAGAACAGACACATGTTTATACTCAGGCACTCTGCACAAAAACAGACTAAACTCAAACTAATATATGATTTCTCACAGATACCAGGCAAGCAAAGTCAAATTGTGACATTTTTCAAGACCCTAGAAAATGCTATTTTACTAGTTTCAACCACATCTAGAAAATCCAGAAAATGTAACCTGTCAAATACCGTTTCATACTTAGAGACTGAAAAAACTTACTTGTTCATGTTTCTTCATAAAAGTATTTGCAACTGAACTAAGAAACCATAGAAAGTGAACTTTTATAAAAAAGTTGGCTGATGAAACTGATACCTGCTTTAGCCTTTTCTTTGTCTGCTCTGCCTGTAATTGAATATGTCATTGAAAATGGAATATGTAAGATTACAAATTGTCATAAAAAGATATAAGCACACCCCTAAAGCATCCAAAATCATGGAGCTAATAATAATTTAATGAAGAGGCACGTGAAAGTCTTGCATTAGTCTTCACTGCACCACAGTGGATAAAAAACAAGCAGATTTATAGCATACATTAAGTAGCATAAAGGTGTTCATAATCATCACAAGACAGGAAGCTGCATAGGAATTTGAAGACCAAAAAAATATTTTGTCCTAGGAACACAAAGGTAAACAGGAAAATACTTAAGCATAACAATTTACAACAAATCTTTTGCATTTTAGGACATTTTTTTTTTTTACTTAATTAAGGAACAAAATGAAAGGTAAAAAAATTCAACTAATAACAACGTTATAATAGAGTCAGTCATTTACAAATGATAAACAAATCTCTACATGATTGAATTAGATGAACTATTAGATAATGAGCCTCAAAGGCACAAGAAACTGTGAGCGACCACTTCAGCTTTTGCAGATCGGCAAATAAAATAAAATAAAAATAAAGTGGCATTAAAAAAATGTATAACAAACTATTTTCCTAAGCCAAATGAAAAGATAAAATAACAACTTTATGTCAGCCATACGTATCACCATGATGGGTTAGAATTAATTACTCAACATTTTGAACTGCTGAGGCTTGAATCAAGCAATAGCAATTAGCACAACCCTCTGAGCCTACTCCATTTTTCATCTCGCATAAGGAAATAACTACTGTGATAAAGTAATGTGAATACCATTTCATTCTCTAGCACAACTTTTTCTGGTGTTAGCGTAGCATTTTCGACTACAAACTAGATACTAAACACCCGACACACGAACCAAAAAAACTAAATAAAAAAATTAAATTATCCAATATAGTAAGTTTTAATATGCTATAAAAAAGCCTGCAAAGCAATAAATAGTACTCTGAAGAACGTTTGTCACTATCAAGTTCATAAAGCATGTTGATTACCAGAATCAGCTTACATGGAGCATCAATTCTGTTGATCTTGTAAGCCGCCATACTTTGGAAGAATGATTAGGAAAAACATTTTTTTTT